GTTAGTCCAGCCAGAAAAGGGCAGATAAAAACCAACAAAACAAAAGACCCAGACAGATAAGACCATGTGACACCCTAAAACCACACAAGTGTTCTCCGTCAGTGTGAAAGTGGACAGTGTAGAAGAAAGACCAGTAACACTTATGAAAGCCACGCTTTACTAAGGCGGTCACCTACTTAAGCCTTTCAAGCCTTACTGTGACATATGATGAGTTTATCATGATAACGATAAACACTAGTTCCAAAGCCGAGGCTGCAGCCGAGGTAGTGCAGGTCCTCAGTAGGACCGTCCTATGAAGATCCCTCCTTAGTAGCCTATCGGTCACACAAATGGAACAGTGTTAATGAGGCTGCATGGTGACGTCACCAGAAAGGTCCCGCCTCTTGCAATTGTGGCATGAAACTTGTGAGGGAACTGGTGAGAGAAAATGGAGCCCATTGCCTTGTGTGCATTGCTATGATAGCTAACGAGCTACTGTAGTACTTTAAACTACATATATACAAATACATCTGATTAATATACAATACATGGGCGAATGCTTTAATTAATCATTTTACTCTTTATAAGGTCATGAAGACAAATTCAAAGATACGAACAACTTTCATTGTAAAACAAGCTCTGCTCCGGCAGCTACGTTTTCCGTTATTCCGCCATTCGGAATTCCGTCGTTATTCCATTCGTTATTCCGTCATTCGTGCGCACAGAAACGTGGGTACCCGAAGGCCTGGAAGGACATAACTGTTGCGTCACTCAGAATATAGGCTGCATTTCTAGGCTGTTTACGAAGGAAGCGGCTTTTGTGGTGGCCGAGAAATGCAGCCTAGGCTTTGGAACGTAGCTACTGTCACATTGCCCAGCCCGAATGACAACCAACATAAACTTCACAAAGGCATTTTCCAAAAAGCATCAACTGTCGTAACCTTTGCTGAGGTAAAATCACATTAAAACCGACCAGAGCAGCCTTTATCACAACCGGCTTGTTGGAATAAGCCTATCATAACCTACATTTCTATTTGTTATTTGTCCCCGGGATCCACTCATATCATTTGTGTACTTTAAATATACCAAAACAGTCAAACACTCGTTTTTTCCATGACCATTTTCCACCCCTTATCCCTTTAAACTAGATCAAACAGGCTGTTCTTGTTGCCGTGCCTTAAAGAGTGATACGTGATATAAATAAGCTCTGTCGTGATTGGATGAAACACTCCTTATAACTTCAGAGTGAGTAGGCAGGACTAAGTTGCTGCAGGCTGAGTAGGCACATATACATCAATGCATACATTTGGTGACATCACAAAAACAATGAATCCAAAATAGCAGCTTAGTTTTCATTTCGTTGCTGTCAGAACAAAACATCGCATCTCCAAAAAGGAAAAACATTCTTAACTTTGAATGGAAATGAATGGAGAAATATTTATTTCCAAGGAATTTTGGACCATTTCTGTTGGTCCGTTCATCATCACATTTTGACACAACATAAAGGGCAGCTGCCTTTTTCAAATTATGTCAAAAAGTAAAAAAACAATGAAAATGGGGCGTTTTGTCCTGACTTGAACGGGACATTTAGTAACTTTAACCATGTTTACATACCACAAGATATTTCCACATGGGCCCTTTAAGTACTAATACCCATACTACACTGAGAAAAGCTATTGTGACATCCCATGATGTAATTTATCGCAACTTTAAATATCGTCATACTGCCCAGCCTTAATGTAGGCTCAAGTCAGCGGTCATGAAAGGCTTAAGCTCTTTAGTGCAGTGCTGTCCAATAGGCATACAGTGACGCTTATGGCAGCAGACTAAACGTGTCCCAGTGCAGACAGAAGAGAGAAATAAATTACACTCCATCGTGGGAGGAGGGCCTGCTGCACAATGTCTCGCAACATCCTGAACAACCACAACAACTGTTGCAACAGCAAACAGGCAGCTAACGTCCACTCTTCTGTTTCTGGTGCAGGCATGTCTGGGTGTGAATGTGTATAAGTCAACATGCGGAAGACGCTGGGACAGATATTTGAGAACGACAGAGCCGTCATACTCATTAAGCAAAGCTGCTGTTTGTTTCATCACGATTGTCAGCATTAGTGCCCTTAGCTATGATACGTAAGCAGCTCTTACGTGCTTCATGTGCCGATAAAGCCCTTTAAACTGAACTGAGAGTGAGAGTAGAAAGTGAAAGGGAAAGTTCTGAGAGCTATAACTCACACTTCCTGTTTCATGTATGGCATACAGGGTGTTAACCTTTTTTGTTTTTGTTTTTTTTTTTTCCCCACAAAAAGCTGCCAACCATCCCCAAACTCCGTCAATGAGGTGTGACAGCAGGCCTGTGTGAGGCCAACAACCCCCCTCAAGGCATTACTCTGTTCTACTACACAAGCAACAGGTGCGGTGTGAATGTTACTACACCCAGAACTAGGGCTGCACGATAAATCGTGTTTTCATTGTTATCGTGATATGGGTTTCTGCAATAAACACATTCTTAGGGCGTCATACAGGTCATGCTAACCAATCAGATGAAAATCTTCGTTTACATGGGCACTACAAGGAATCAGATCCACAATTGCATGCATGGAGTAACACTTAGCGCTGACGTTACCGTGACAACAAGCTTCACGTGAGTCCGGCATTTTAATTTGCTCTATAGATCCAGTCGTAGTACTTTAGTAGTATAGTGTAGTTCAAAAGTATAGTTTTAATTCGTCAACAAAAACCAGTGTCAATTTTGTCCATTTTTATTTTCCTTCATCATTTCAACACACCAGTTGTCCTTTATGTCATGTGTAAATTTCATGATGAATGGACCAATAGAAATGCTCTAAAATCACTTGGAATAAAACCTCTTTACATTGACTTACACTGGAAGGTAAGAGGGTTTTAGCCTTCTCCTGTAAAGTTACTATTTTGGAGATACTTGTTACGGCGACGATTTCTAAACCCTTATCTATTTAACGGATTATTTACAGGATTACCCACCTCATTCAATCGGATGGAAACTGTATTCTGAATAGCCTCAATCGGACGAGTCTATTCTAACTGACGTGTATACCTGAACGTGTTTTATTCCGACTGATCTATTAGTCGAATTATTAGGCTTAATGCAAACATGGCTAATCACAGCACAGATCAAATTAGCTCATACACAGCCAGAGAGATGCTATTACATTAATAGCACAAACCATTAAAAGCCTAACAAGTGCTTCTCTGCTCTGGGATTAAACCCATCTGCTCTGCCGGAATTTAACCATTAGGCTAAACAGCCAGTTATACCTGCAGAGCTCAAACAGTCCATCCTGAACTACACGCTGCAAAAACATCAAACATTAGGACTGTTTTCACACCCAGTGTTGTGTTTTAAGTGTGTGAGGCAGTAACAGTTACTGTAACAACAAACATACTAAATAACTAAACAAAGACAAGTAAATAAGTAAACAAAAGTATGTATTTGTTCTAGTGTGTCTGTATAAAAACAAATAAACATTTATCTGTTTTTGTAGCCTTTATAAAATGTGCTTGCAGTTCTGATGTAAGCAGCTGTTAATATTTCATTTCTTTTCATTTTGCCCAATAGTGAATGATGATTTTGTAATTTTGTATTTTGCTCTTTGTTTAATGGAGAGATCCGCCTGTTTACACATCCAAAAAAATCTGTACTTGCATCACTTACGGTCAGAGGTCCACCATTTAATAACAATTTATCGCTTCTCATACCATTGTGATATCTGACAGATTTATCAAACACTGCATTTTATGTCAATATCGGACCCAGAACCCTGAGGTTTGACCTCCAGTGCCTTTTAAGTGGAGGAGTGACCACCTCAAGGGCCCTCTTAGCTGGGATTCCACCTAAATGTGAGAGACGTTGGGCTACAGGGTCACCAACCCTGTTCTCGGTGATCAATCTACATTCCTGCAGAGCGCAGTTCAGTTCCACCACTAATCTGCTTAATCACACCTACTGCAGCTAATGGATGTCCTGCTTAAGTGGACCAGGTGCATTAAGATTGGCTGAGAAAGCCCACTGTCCAGCACAGTTCGGTGATTTCCAGCTCAAACTCAGCAAGAAAGCAGGATGGATCACTTAAAGGGCCCAAACTCAGGCAAAACTGAACCATCCTAATTTTAGGTGTCCAGGTTGAATGTAAACACCGTTAATGCCATAATTTTGCACTTGTTTTTATTTACATATACCCGTCTATCCAGCCTACAGACGTTTAGCCCGCCCACTCACACTGAAGTTATAAGGAGTGTTTTCTGAATGAGGCACAGGGCAGGGAAGCTAATCTAAAAAAAAAGAATTTACATACAGTTGTATGCAAAAGTTTGAGCACCCCTGGAAAAATATACATATTCAATGAGGCCTGTGCAAAAGTTATGGCACCTTTTATACTGTATGTCTAACTTCTTTTTCAATATGTAGAACTCAGTGAATAAATAGAAATTACAGTGAAATTTGCAAAAAAAAAGAAAAAAAGTCATATTTCACATATTTCCCTGTAGAGGACGCGTTAACTTATTTTCACCTGGCAAAACATGTAAGTCAGTAAATTTGAGCGAGGGTGTTCAAACTTTTGCACACAACTGCATCTGTCTTGAAGGCACAGTGACAAAAACAGCCTGTTTAGTTCTAATGAATAAAGAGCTGCGCGTGAAAAAAGAATGAGCACTTTTTAAGATGGACCCTCAGGGAAAACAACAACAACAACAACATACTAAGAAAAATGTAGGTCACTGGCCCTTTAACGCTGAAGTTTGCCCAGCAGGAATGCCCCTTATCTCTAAACAGGCTCGACTTCTGGCTTGCGATATCCATCTAGATGAGTCCTGCTTTGTGAAACACCCCCCCTACTGGTTTAGTAGGTCCCTCCAGAACCTGACTTGGTTACCCCTATGGGTGGGGAGGGGAGTGAGGTGAGATAGAAGGGGGTCCAGCATGATAGGATTCCTCTCCAGAAAAGGCCCTACAATCTCCAGGAAGAGGACCATATGGCCTTTACCTGATCTTGTAGTTGGGCAGCGTGTGCTTCTTCTTGATGACCCTCTTTAGCTGGTTGACGATGATGGATGTGAGCTGGGGCAGCGGCCGGCCCTCGAACTGCGACTTGACCTCAAAGTCGATGAGGGGGTCCTCCAGGAAGGAGAAGGACCAGTGTGTGAAGGGCATGCGGGTGAACTGCAGCTTGAGGCGCCCGGCCACCCGGGTCATCTTCACGAACAGGTAGGCGGACTTGCCAAACACCAGGTCCACGTCGATGGCCAGGTGGAAGCCCCCATTGTACTCCAGGTCCACCTCGAAGCTCAGCTCCTCCGGCACACCCTCCTCGTTGGTGGCCACGGGTTTCAACAGCCGGGCAGTCTTGAAGACTGGCACCGAGTTGCCCAGGGAAATCTCACGGAGGCTGAGCCCTTCCAGGAGACGTCCGGCAGTCTTGGTCTGCAGGAGCTCCTCAAACTCCACCCGGATCTTCTTGGTGATCCAGTGGCGCACCACTGGGGTGTCCCGGAGCTCCCGGAACAGGAATAAGAAGATTGCATTGAGGAAGCCACAGGTTTCTACTCCAGTTTCGCCCTGGGATTGGGATTGGGAATGGGAATTGGATTGGGATTGAGATGACTGAGATTGGGATTGGGACTGAGGCTGGGGCTGAGGCTGTTTTGAGACGTTTCCCTCATGCTGCCTGGATGACAGCGAGGCTTCCTGTTGGTTCTGGCCCTGCTCGCTCGTCTGCTGCTGGTGCTGGTGCTGGAAGTAGTCCCTCAGCGCTGAATCGACCACGGCTCGGCCGTACTGCTCGGTTCTCTTCACGGGCTCCGGGCTCCTCCGGTAAAGCAGCGCCAGCTGCAGCAGCAGCGTCAGCACGGCGCCGGAAAACGCGGAAATCAGAATTAAATAGATCATCTTTTATCGGCTGTCAGCCTCGTCAAATCGACCTAAAGCTTCGCGGATTAATGAGCGCTGGGTTCCACCTGGCCGCTCACAAAGCTGCCATATCATCCGCCTCGTTCCTGGGCTGCGGAGGCGCGTTCTGATTGGACGGAGGCGCTCGATGTCACCGTGCGTGATGACGACAGCGGACACAGCGAATCCCGAATTGAGGTGGATTTTATTCCACATCCGTACTCCGACAAGACCCGCCCTTTCTGCGCTGCGATTGGCTAGTACGATCGCGTCTCCTGCGAGGTGATTGGATAGGGTTTATATTACTTACAAGTCGTCAGGGATTTTCTGCTTTAAAGGAGTAGTCCACCGATTTTTTCAAAATTTCTGTATAAGTCAATTGTTAAGATGTAAATAAAGTCGTTCAAAGTGGCTTGGTTTAAAATGCTTCGTTCTTGAGAAACAGAGTTGTTCACACTGGTGGTGATAGGAACCAGACGTCCTCTAAAAGCTCCCTCACAGAACGTTATTACATGAAAATATTATGAATACATTTCCTGTTGTCTGGAACATTGTTTTATATATTCGTTTGGAGATGAAAACATATTTTTTAGAAGCCGTACATGGCGGGAGGATGCATACAAGGCAAAATAGTCCCCCAAAACGTATTATTTTCAGATTTATGACTATTTTACCATCATCAGCATTCCATATAAAACTCAGAAGACACATGTAGGTTAACTGGTGGTTTTGGACAGTAAATGGCAATATTTGTGTTGAGTCTCAGCTGAGTAGTGCAGAATTTTTGTGGGGTTCCCCTGTAACTTTCACTGTGTTAACCGTAGGTTTCAGCAAATAAGTGAAAAGGTTATAGAATAGCAAACAGGTGCTCAACAGCTGGAGTACATTCTGAGCTTGTGATCTGGATGGGAGAAACCTGCCCTAAAGGGCTTGAACAATATTCCATCTTGATCTCACGGCTCATGTGAATAGCATACTGTGTTATTAGCATACAGTAAGGGGATCTTTGATGGCAAGGTTGGCACCGGCATGACAGCTTAGGCCTCACTACAGGAACACGTGCTGAAACGTTCAAATAAACTGACCTAGAGCCCTAAATTCAAGTGCCCTTTCTTGGCAACTGCAGTCGTGCCCTTAAACAGCATTCACTAACCTAAAGTACAGTATTTAAAAATTTAACGTCAAAGGCTGGGCTTACATTATCATTATAAACAGAGAACTGTAAACCACTTCATTTTGGGCCTAAAAGCAACTGCAGACAGCTCAATTTCTGGAAGGCCCCGATTTAGTTTTGCTCTGATTTAGTGATTGTCCTGCTCTAAAACTACAGATTAAACTCACCACAGCTTGATCATTAACCAGGGAGATGAATCACATGTGCTACAACAGGGAAACTGTAAAGTGCGCAGTGGCAGAACTGGAACTGCTTCGGTGATGACTGAGCATCATAAAGCTGATATGAAGACTACAGGTTTGCATATGACTCAGATATAATCAAATGCCACACAATCTTTTCTATGCCCCAAAAGCATTGGCAATCAAAGCATAGTTAGTTGCATTACGTGCAGTTGCACACTGAGTGTTACACAACAGCACCATCTAGTGATGAAAATAGGATAAAACAGCTCTAACTCATTGACCAATAAGTCTGCACTACATTACACTGTAAAAAATGTTGTTTTTACAAAATGTTGGTGTTCAGGCTGCCTCAAAATTTGGAACCCCCAATAATAATAATAATAATAATAATAATAATAATAATAATAATAATAATAATAATACAAATTTATTTTTTTCGACACATTTCAAAAAGATGGTTCTTCAGATTGATGGAGAATGTATAAGATGGTGCATATAGAACCTTTTTGAGGGTCTGTATAGCACTCAGAAGGGTTCTTCTATTGTAACAAGATTGACATTGTAACAGTAGAAGAACCGTTTTTGGTGCTATATAGAACCCCTTACAAAAAGGTTCTATATAGAACCATATACAACACACTCTCTATCAATCTGAGGAACCCTTTCATTATGCAAAGAACCTTTAATCATGCAAAGGGTCCTTTGAGTGTTCATGGTTCTATGTTAAATAATTTTCTTTACCAAAGAACCCTAGAAGAAGCATCTTTTTTAAGAGTGTACATATCCTGTATGTTTCTTGCTTGTATATTCTGTCTGTAAATAATATGTACATTGTCTGTATATTACTTGTCCATATATAGTCTGCATATTGCTTGTGTACTGTATATATTGTATATTGTATATTGTGTACTGTCTGTAAACTATTTGTAAACTACCAAATTCCTTGCATGTGTCAACATACTTAGCCAATAAATCTGATTCTGATAATAATACATTTACAGTACATTAATACACTATTATTGTTGTTGTTGTTGTCATTGTTGTTGTCAACAAATGATATACATGACTGATACCTATTTACTATTAATCTTGTGATAAATAAATAAACAAAATGATAAATGTTTCTAAATAATAAATTTAGATAAATTTTAGATACATTTTAAAATATATAAATAAAACACTGACAGATGATTGCAAAGAAGTTAGTACATAAACAAAACAAGTAAAACTGAAGTGAAGATTGTCTCAATAAATATTTAAAGTCATAAAGTCATTCAAAGGCATTTTTTAATGCACTCAGTTGCCATAAAGGTTCTACACTCTTAAAAAAAGATGGTTCTTTAAGCGTTCTTTTGTAAAGGCAATGATTCTATTTAGAAACATTTGCATGCTATAGGGGTTCTTTGCATGGTGAAATGGTTCTTCAGATTGATGGGGAATGTGCTGTATATGGTTCTATATAGAACAAAAAAGGGCTCTGCTTTTGTTGCAATATCGAACTTGTAACAATGGAAGAACCCTATCGGGTGATGCTACATAGAAGCATTTTCAATAAGGTTCTATGTAGAACCATACACAACACATTTTCCATATAAAGAACCAGGTAATGGTTCTTTGAAATGGTTCAATATAAAACTCATGGTTCTAAATAGAGTCTTGTCTTTACTGAACAACCATCCTTTTAAGTGTGTATGTTGGTATATGCGAGTAATTACGACTTTATTTGGTTTCATCGACGCTAATAAACTCGTATTTACGGTAAAACACAGCGGCACATGAAGGCTGTCAGCGGTCTGAGTTGGTGCTGTAGCTTAGCTTAGCCTAACTCTAAAATAATGTCTCAGCCGCCTCCTAAACCGTGGGAAAGACGGATTCCTGGAGCTATAACAGCTCCACTAAACTATCGGTCAGTAACACATTTATCCAAATTCTGTATTCATGTCTTAAAATGTATGAAAACAGGACCGTCTTTGCAGTTTTGCTAGCGAGGTGACAGGCCCTGTGTTGTTGTTGTGCGTTAGCTTGCTAAGCTAACTGCCCTCTTACGCAATTTTAGTTCACAACACGTCAGGTTTGTTGAAATGAACGTCAGATATTGATTAATATGAGATTTATGCGAGGCACGAACTCACTGGCATGAAATATTGTTGCTAAAATGGACGAGGCTGAAGTTGGCTATCTGTTTTCCAGCTTCTTGTTCGAATTTTGCCGTTTCGGCAAAATTCGTATAAGAAGCTGACTTCAGTTTCATCAAAAGTGGTGAATCTGGTGAGTAGCTTGAATCTGTGTGAGTGAGCTGAGTTTTATAGCTTTCTGCCTAAGTTTTCTTATTAAACTTTACCTCAGGCCACTGGATACTCGGAATATTCACATTTTCAGTACTGAGTGTTATTGAACTTTTTAATGTTTTGTTTACATTGTCTTTGGTCATAAATTATCAGTCCAGGGTCAAATCTTGCCTGATTTTGTTGCTATACAAACAGTGGTGACCATAACCATACACACAAGATGGTTCTTCAAAGTTCTTTAGTAAAAGGAATGGTTCTGTTTAGAACTATGAGTTCTATACTGAAAGATTGGCACGCTTAAATGTTTTTTTTGCGTGGCGAAATGGTTCTGTAGAATGATAGTAAATGTGTTTAATATGGTTCTGTGTTGAACCTTTTTTAAAACGGTTCTATGTGGCACCAAAAAGGTCCTAATCTTGCTATGATGTCAAGCTTGTAACAATAAAAGAGCCATTTTTGCTGTATAAAACCATATACAACACATTCTCCATCAGTCTGAAGAACCATTTCACTGTGCAAAAAAACATTTAAGCATGAACTCATGGTTCTAAGTAGAACCATTGCCTTTACTAAACAAACCTCTTCTTCAACAGCATAGCAGTTAGAGTTGCTGATAATGTATTTGGTATTTAGTGTATGTGCATTAGGACTGGGTAATATGACAATATGACTCATAATTGTGATAAATAACATCACAATATGTCACAATATGCGTTTCTGAGTATATCTTTGATATCATCAGTATTTAAAAAAACTTTCCAACTGCATGTTTGATTACCAAGACAGTATCATTAGAACTGTTTTATTGTATTTAGTGCAACACAGTGTGTGAAATATGGAATATGAATCATAGTATTTTTTTCAATGAAGCACTACTTTGTCTTCACCAATTTATTAGAGGTCAGGAAAAACAAACTGTGTATCGTGAAAATGTGTTGAAGTATCGTGATATTGCGCTTTTGCCTATCGCTCACATCTAACGTGTATCTATAATTTTCATATTTGTTTAAAGGATCATGCTTCTCTTCAATTTCTGACATTCTGCTTTCAGGGTATGCCTTGATATTTTTAAATTGATGTCATATTGCTTTTGACATGCAAAAATAAATGTCCACAGCATGAATGATTACTATGGGTCTTACAGATACTATATATTCACATTTCAGAGGTTTAGATTTAATGCTTTTAGTAACACAGAGCCAGTTTAGTTAAAGGTAAATATATAACATTTATTTATATGCAATTTCATAGATATCAAATAATTACTAGAATGCTCTAAGAAAGTTCAAGCTGATTCTGAAACACGTGTATAGCATCAAGAAAGACGTTATAATAAAATCAATATCCAGAATGCCTCATATAATTACAAATAAACCAAAATTTGTAACTGGGATTACTTGTATTGTGAGAAGCAGAAAAAGCTTAACCAGCTTCTAAGACTGAACTTTGGAGGTGTGTCTGCAGATTTCTTTGAAACAGTGAAAGTGAGTCTTCTGAAAAGAATGGAAGCTGTAATAAAGGTCAAGGGTGACACACTAAACACTAATCTTATGTTATATTTTGTTGATGACGCTTGTGTCATTTTCTGTTTTCTGCTTTTTTCCTGAGGCTGAAAAATGAGTAGCTGGTTCTAAATGTCCATTTTGACTTGAAATTAAATAAATGAAATGTTGGTCTCTGACTTCTGCACAGCAGAAGTCCATGAAATATCACCATGTGCTGCCACTCCGCTTAGCTCTAGTGTTAGCATTGGCTCATCTGAAGGGTCAGCCTTCTTTACCTATCCTTATCTGACACAAAAACCTGCTAACTTAAACAGCAGTAACCAAATAATTACTCTGAGCTATGATTTTTTTTTCTTTCTCACAATTAACCATTCATCCGTTATCCATTCATTAACTCTTCTGGATACATGAATATTAAAATATGAAAAAAATGCTCATCTGTAATTATTAGGCATGTTGAATTGAGCCAGTGTGCGGCCCATATCATTCTGCCATTAATATCTGCATTTTAACACTCAGGTCTACAGACTTTGCTGCAGCATCAGTGAGCGGACCCCCAGCATCAGGCCCGCCGGTCTTAACGCGTGTGCCGCCTCCAGTCCCTCCACGGCCTGTCCAGCAGACCTACCGTCCGGCCTATAGCTCCTTCCCCTCCTCCTATAGCCCCTACAGCTATGGTGGAGGCTATAGCCCCTTCAGTTACGGCGGATACGGCCTGGGAGGCGGTTTGGGCTACAGCCGCTTCCGCCTGGAGGACGTACCACCTAGCCGCTTCGTCCAGCAGGCGGAGGAGAGCAGCCGGGGCGCGTTCCAGTCCATCGAGAGCATCGTGCACGCCTTCTCTTCGGTCAGCATGATGTTGGACGCCACCTTCTCGGCCGTCTACAACAGCTTCCGCGCTGTGCTGGACGTGGCCAACCACTTTTCCCGCCTACGCGTCCACTTCACTAAAGTGCTTTCCGCCTTCGCCTTGGTGCGCACTCTGCGCTACCTTTACCGCCGCATTCAGAGGATTCTGGGATTACGGCCAGACCTGGACGCTGAGGATCTGTGGGCAGACAGCGTGGTGCCCACCGCCGGGGCCAGAGGACCGGGCCTGGACGATTCCAGAGCAAACTCTGTTAAGTCTTGGCCCATTTTTCTATTTCTTGCTGTGGTTTTTGGAGGGCCGTACCTGATCTGGAAGCTGCTAAGATCCGAGGAGAGCGCAGAGGAGAGCGGTGAGTAGGGATTCATCAGTGTGGGCCTAAAGATGGTGATTTTGGAATGTTAGAATCATCCATAATTAATTATAATATTCAATAAAGTATGCACTCATCCTTTGGTCAAAATAAAATTCTAGACATTGTATCGTTGCTCATGGCAAAGCCACTGCAGACTCTTTACTGTGTGGTTTTAGAGCATCTCATATTTGCAGAAGAAGTGTGATTATCTGCTTGACTGAGTGTTTCTGTGTGCAGGCACTAACTGGGCGGGCGGTGAGGATGACCATGTGGTGGCTCGAGCTGAGTATGATTTCACCGCTGCTTCTGAGGAGGAGATCTCCCTTCAGGCAGGAGACATGCTCAATCTGGCTCCCAAGGGTAGATACATTTATTAACTTATTTACATTTGATGACCACTGTTTTACTCAGCATTACTGCAAACTCCTACGTTCTTCTTCTGCTAGCTGGTCACCTAAACAGAAACCCCTACCTTCTATTTCCATTCACTAGCCACTTTAATAGAAACCACAACCTTCTACTTCCACTATCTGGCCACTTTATCAGAAACCCCTGCCTTCTACTCCCATTTACTGGCCATTATATCATAATTCCTTATCTTCTACTTCCACTCACTTGCCACTTTATTAGAAACACCTACCTTGTGCTCCCACTCAGTGGCCACTTTATTAGAAACACGTACCTTGTCCTTCTATGCACTGGCCACTTCATTAGAAACCTCTACCTTGCTCTTCCACTCACTGGCCACTTTATTAAAATCACCTACATTATAGGTCTAGTGTACAGGTGTACCCATCTATAGCCCATGTGTTGCTGCATATTTCACCCCCAGGGTCACTTTCTGACTACAGGACCACTGATCAAGATACTGTTTGGATGGTAGAATTCTCAGTACATCAGTGACGCTACTCTGAGTTACATTTACTTCTCAAAATATACAAGGGCCTGCTAGCTTTTGCGTTAGCATCATTAAAATGAAACATTTTAGCGTTTTGTATCCTTTAAGAATATTTAAATAGTCGTTCTAGTGCTCAAGTATTCAAATACTGAAGATAGTAACCAGTGACTATAATTAGTCATATAATATTCAAGTAAGCGTTTGAGAGAATAATAGACAGTTACAGCCCTAACATATCGAGAGTTCTCACAGTCTGCATCTTTTTATTACCAGAGCAACAGCCGAGGGTGCGTGGCTGGCTGTTGGCCAGCGTGGACGGACAGACCACTGGACTGGTCCCGGCTAACTACGTCAAAGTCCTGGGCAAGCGGAGGGGCAGGAGGCAGGCAGAGCTGGAGAGGCTGGCCCAGATGCAGCAGGGTCAGCAGGTTCTACAGCCAGAACGAGGTCCGGTTACAGCCTCGGCGGGACGTCCAGACCCAGAAGAGCTGCTGGAGTCTGTGTATAGCGAAGCACCTGTATCACACACGCACTTATCTAACACTGCTGCCACAGATACTGTGCTGGAGACTGCAGAGAAAATAGACTTGTGAGTGTTTATGTATGTGTAGTAAGAGTCGGTTTGTGACTGCTTGAGTGGGTTATAGACATTATATCTCACTGACAAAAACATTAGCATGCATCTTTTCTTTTTTAATACGTGGTGACACGCCCCTTTCTCTCAATAACAGCGGATATCCCGCCAGGTAAGGATTACACCAGTCTCTTGAGAGAGTCCTTGTTTATTCTAGTCCACTCATCCACAAACTGGGTGAACATTTGGGCCATTTCCTTCTGCTGTTCCAGATTGATGATTGGGATTGAGGTCTCCCAGTCACAAACAAACACCCTACAGTTGTCATCCGAGAATGTGGGAGTGTCAGTGTTATGTTCTGCTCTGAGTGGACTAGAATGGACACGAACTATCTCGGGAGACTGGTGTAATCCTTGGTGCTGTTATTGAGGCAGTTGGGTGTTTGGCCAAGTGTTGGAGAAGAAATGATGCTATTTCTTGTCTGGAGAGATCATGAAAGAGTGTCTTTGTGTGTGAATAGCTCTGAAAACTCCATCAAAAGGGGAACACTTGGAAACATGGCCATAACTCTACTGGACTGATGATCTTTAAAGTTAGAATCGGGGCTGCACGATATGGACAGAATGCTAGTATTGTGATTGTATTGCTGGACATTCTTCAGTACATTTAAAACAGATGGAGAATCAGTTTTGTGACATGGTTAAAAAATTGGCCTGCGTTATTTTGACCACAGTAGTTAATGAATTACAGGAATGATTCATCAAAATGGCCACAGAAGCCCATCTGGAACTGTGATTGGTCAGGATGCTCTCAGCACACGCTCTGATTGTTTAGAAGGGTAATTTATGACATCCTGCCATGACAGTACTGCAAAAGCCAATATTGGGACACTGATTCACAAGTGATACATTATGCAGCCTTAGTTTCATAGAAAGAATCCTTTTCATTTTATTCATGTCTGTAATAAAAGTCTAATGTTGAAAGGTTAATGTTCAGTGCAAACAATTGAATGATGGCATTGCTTTTTAGTGCAGATCTGTCCCATCTGCTGACAGATTTGGAGGGGAGAGTGCAGAATATGTTCTCAAATCAAACCTGATTATAGCTTTAAACGGAATAGCATGTTAGATAAGCAGGTGTTGTCCTGGTTCTAGTCTGCCATACTTTATTCATCCGTTAAGTCCCGTTGAATGTAAGTTCTGTTGGATTTGTTCTCCAGCTAGCTACACAGTTCAACATTTTGAAGGTCACTTTTGGCATATTTGCGGGTACTGACCTTGAGGTTGATTTGATCAAGAAGTAATTACATGTAATTTACGTTAATGTAAGAATATCTATCATTGTAGACTTTAAAAGTGGATTTCAGCAACATGAGGTTAGAGTAAATGGGCGTATCGTTCATTATGAGATTTGTTCATGTATTGCTTTTAATTGAGAGCATCTCTGGTAAACCTAATAAACTTTTAGATACAATTCAGATGTTTTCTGTTAATTGATCACTGTTATTGAGAACATGCTTGGACTAGTCTGTGAGCTGGACATTCCGGCTGCCTGTGATAACTGTTCTAATCATGTTTCCGCACAAAAGTAGGCTGTTATGAATTCCAGCAGATTGGAAAGTTGGTGTCTGTTTTCTTAATTATATTATGGTTTTGTTTGTGCACTGTTATGGTCTAATAATTAACATACGTGTGTAAATATAAGGAATTATTTTGACAATAAAATATTTTCAGAAATTGATATGTTGTCCTGTGGTGATTTGCTACTCTTTTTTGATTGTTTTGATATTCAAATAATGTTTGCATGGTATATAACACTTGCAAAAACAAGGGAATTTTATTTTCCATAATATGGGCCCTTTAACCGTATGAAGTAAATGTCACTGAGGCTTAAATAGCAAAAGAAACATAACCCATTGCACCTAATAACACAACGCTGTTGGCTGGATATTTTTGGTTGGTGGACTATTCTCAGTCCTCCAGCAGCACTGCTGTGTCTGATCCACTCAGTCCAGCACAACACACACTAACATACCACCACCACGTCAGTGTTACTGCAGTGCTGAGAATGATCCACCACCCAAATAGCACCTGCTTTGTGAGGGTTCATGGGGGGTCCTGACCCCTGAAGAACAGGGTAAAAGGGGGCTAACAAAGTATGCAGAGAAACAGATGGACTACAGTCTGTAATTGTAGAACTACAAAGTGCACCTATATAGTAAGTGGAGCTGATAAAATGGACAATGAGCGTAGAAACAAGGAGATGGTCATAACGTTATGCCTGATTGGTGTATGTACATAACACATGTATACATATATATTTGTTACTACAACTGATCATTACAATGTAATATTACAAGATGTAAGCATTTTATATTATGCTCGAACCCTGTGTATTGTATGTTTTTAGCTTTGTGGATTTGGATTTGAGAAAAAAGCACATTAAAAAATATGTTTTTATTAACAGTAATCTTAATTTTTCACAGTAATTTTTATATTTTTTATGTTATTATTATATTTTATATGATTTTTTTATATTATTAAACAAAGAATACTATTAAGATTGTCCTTATTAGATATTAATTTCTTCCTTTTTAAATTTATTTTTATTTTTTATTTTCTTTGATTTTATTGTTTGTGCTCGTATGCTTTTTTTCCCTTTCGCTTCCGCTGTCGCCTAGCAACGAGGACGCCCCTCTCGCACAAGCTGCACTGCGGCACCGGAAGAGCGATAAAAATCAACAAAACGACGACGTACTAAACGAGGAACTCACAAACAACAAACTACAAGACAACAAAAACAACAAACAACAAAAACAACAAACTACAGGAATATCGGAGCTGCTGAGCGGCCTGTATGAGTCTGTCTGGCTTTGATTGCGTCCCGCAGGTGCTCGACCAATCAGCGCACAGCGTTTCTGAGTCTGGGTGGAGCCTGTGGTTCAGCAGAGCCACCGGAGACAACGAACCAGCAGCCCGAACATCAGCGGATTAAACCGTTAATATAGCTTTAAACAGCACACAGACGGTTACAGGCACTGAAAACAAGGGAATGGAGACAAAACACGGCTGTGTGTCAAACATGAATCGACTTTTAGCGCGTTAGGCCCTTAAACCGTTTGTGATCACTGATCAATAACGCTATTGACTCAGCCAGCCTGGACCAGAGAGTAACATCATCGCTACAGAAGGGTCACAGAAGGACGAACTAATGTAAGTGACTGATATTACCTAATGATTCACCAGCTTTTTGTTCGAATTTACCCGTTTACCCGGCTGCAGCAGTTAAAGTGGAACGGGGATCCTGGAAAAGGAAGCCAGCCTTGTTGTATTTGCAGGGTATTGTTCGCTGCAGCCTGTTTCTGATGGCCATCAAATATCATATATCATTACAGGCTACCGCAGTGTTCTCCACCTGCACTGCAGAGTTTGTTTTCCAGCTCCAGAGCTGTGCACTGGGAAGGCTGAAGTTAGGGTGATGTATGTGGACCAGAGCTGGGATGTAATGGAATAGAAGTATTGGGGAAAATATATTCATCAGAATACAGAAATTAGTAGAATAAAGTATCTGTATTAAGTACAAGTTACATTTTGTAAAGGTGGTTTTCAGAATACAGTTACTTTTTACATTTGTAGAAATGCTTACCTACTAAATTAAAAAAAAATATTTACCATCTTTAAAAGAAACACCACAAATACTTGTTTATTAGCTATTCTAAACTCACTCTGTGTAAAGAAGAACTCAATAAATGGCTTTTTACAAACACTGAGGTTCCTAAAGCCTGAGTAGACTGATAAACCAAAGTGACTATATATAAATACATATTTATAATACAATATGTTATTTTTTATGCATTACTGAACAGTGTGTTCAGTATTCAGCCATCACTACTTTTTCAAAGTATTTTGCCCAACGCTGATGGGGACACAGCCCACTATGCTGCAGAAATGACTTTGACTTTCCATTTTGTGACTGGCTGAAACTGTGGTCCACAGAATGATTGCAGCTCTGAAGAACATGCACTCCCTGGCCACTTTTTCGAAACCCCTTCTTTGTAGCTCCACTTTACTGGTGTAGACTTATACCTGATCTGTAGATGCACAGATATCCTGTCTGTATATTTTGGGTGGACGGTCCACTCTCAACCCAGCAGTGACACTGACGTGTGTAAAAAAACCCCAGCAACACTGTTATGCTGTGTCTGATACACTCGTACCAGCACCAAACACACTGCCATGTCAGTGTCGCTGCTGTGCTGAGATTGGACCACCACCCACATAATATCTGGACAACAGCGGCCCTGTGGTCAGACTAATGATCATGATAAACTGTGCAGCAACAGATGGACTACAGTAACTGTAACTGTACACCTGCTTGGTGAACCTATAAGGTAGGTGTTTCTAATCAAGGGGCCAGAGAGTGGAAGGACAAGGTAGATGTTTCTATAAAGTGGCCAGTGAGTGGAAGTACAAGGTAGATGTTTCTAATAAAGTGGCCAGTGAGTGGAAGGACAAGGTAGATGTTTCTAATAAAGTGGCCAGTGAGTGGAAGTACAAGGTAGATGTTTCTAATAAAGTGGCCAGTGAGTGGAAGTACAAGGTAGATGTTTCTAATAAAGTGGCCAGTGAGTGGAAGTACAAGGTAGATGTTTCTAATAAAGTGGCCAATGAGCGGAAGTACAAGGGGGTGTTTCTAATAAAGTGGCCAATGAGCGGAAGTACAAGGGGGTGTTTCTAATAAAGTAGCTAGTTAGAAGCAGTAGGAGGTAGGGGTTTCTAATCAAGTGGCCAATGAGTGCATGCTGAATGTCGGGGTTTCTAATAAAGTGAATGACAGTGTTCTTCTCTTTTATCACATGTCATGAGTTGTGGTCCTGGCTGTTCATGCTGATTAATCCCCATGTAAATACTGTTCCAGATAATGAATCGTCTTTGTTCTGTCAACAATAATTTCCCGTATGACAATAACCTCTTGGTCCTGGACATGGTGCTGAGTTCACTATGGGGAATGCCACAGCCAATCAACTGGGACAGCGTTGCCCGTCTCGTTCCTGGCTTCACACCGAAAGAGGTAATTAAGAACTGAGTTTTGCCATTTCTGTCATAATAGCTAAAGGAATAATTGATACACAGTTTACACAATTTCCCCTTCCGCCAAATATAGTTCAAACACGTTTGGTATCTTAGGTTTGTTTTACACTGGAGGCACGAGGCTAAGGTCTTACTAACAAGTATTAGAAGCTTATATTCAATTAGCATGGTGCTAACTGCAGACCTAAATCATCACACACTCACCTCAGACTGTGGAGAGTTGTGAAATAATCTTAAACAGACTTGTTTATGTGGTTTTTGACACTGTATTACACTGTTATCTATAATCGTGGGCTACGTCACATAACAGAGCACAGCAGTAGCAGCCACCTGGAACACTGAGTTTTATTTACTTTTGTGTGTCTGTGTGGAACATGAGCCACCATAGCAGCGTTTTTCTCATATATTTTTAATAATTTTTTCACAGCTACCTTAAAATGCAACTTTTGCCTATTTTGAAGGTCCATCAGTTGAACCATGTTTGTTCCTCAGTAACACTGATGAAATCATTTCAGTTGAAATTTGTCTAATATCCAAAACCAAGTATGTCAACCTGAATTAAAGCATTTCATTTATATGCTCTCCTTTATTGTGTAAACTGTACAGGATTAATTTGATATGAAGAAAGCTGCGTATAATTAATTAACAAATCACATTTTCATTCAATTTACATTCTGTTGTTCTCGTTTGTGAATAGTGTGCACGCAGGTTCGATGAGCTGAAGAGCACCGGGAGTTTCCCCCTAGTGGACGAGCAGTGTAACGCACTGACCGCAGCCAGCAGCTCTCCATCTGAACCGTTGTCCGCTTACATCAGGTCCACCCTATTGGACATTACTGGGGACACGGGGGAACCACGGACCAATCAGAGCACGCTCTCAGTGTCAAGTGAGTCAAAGGGGCAAGACTTGATCAACATTATTACAATGGTGTATTCAAAAACACTGTGTTCATTAAATGGTGGATGATAAGTACCTGTCCACCCTGCTCTTCAATGGTCAGGACGTTGTTCATCAGTGGTCGCTGGATGCTGTTGGCTTTATATTTTTGGTTAGGGGACTGTTCTCAGTCCAGCAGGAACACTGAGGTGTTTAAAAATGATAGATTGATAGAACTTTATTGATCCTGAAGGGAAATCGCAGGTTTTTTTAAGTTAGAGTTTAAAATGTTAAAACTTTAAAAGTTTAAGTTTTAAGTTTATAGTTTAACTGTAAGTTTTAACTTTGTTTTTCAGTTAAAGTTTTTAAATTTTTAAGTTAAAAACACCAATTTTTCCAGTGTAAAAGAAACTTACTACATATATGAATGTGAAAAATCAGTCCGAACTTGTTTGTAGAAGTATTAAAGTGGACTGTGTTCGTCCTCAGGCCTGAGTGTGAGCCCTGCCGTTAGAGGAGCCGGTGCTGAGAATGAGAGCACAGCGGCCACCGAGGAGCGAGAAAAGGAGGATGGAGGAAAAAGGTGCTACATCCGTTCATAACATGTTCCGGCATTCATTAACTCACTCTTAGGGAATTCTAGGCCTAATGATTTCTGTGAAATAAAAAAATATATTTTTTTGGCAAAAACTTTAAACACTCAACAGAAAATTGTCCAATCAGAATTTTTTTCCTGTATTATCTAGGTACACAGGCAAGTTAGCTCTCCCATTGGTTAGGACTTCAAGAGCTGGACTGAAGTCCTAACATTTCAGATTAGCCTCTAACATAATTAGCTACTGACAGTGAAATCAAGCAATCATGCTTTGATTTACAAAAAACATCACTCTAGCTCGGAGTTCGGCAACCCAAATGTTAAGAAGAGCCATTTTGTCCTTTCAGCAAAAACCAAACCACCTTGGGAGTCACAACATTTTATGGCCATTTTACCATCTTGTCTGTAAATGTGTCTCAGTATGTACTGATGTGCTGGTATAGGTTAAACAATATAATACAAACATAAACACAGACTTACTTTGCTCTGCTTCAAGCTTTAGCTCAGCTATAGCCACTTTTCTCGCATCTCCAGCAGGAAACTTTTCATTCCAAAGTAGAACAGTTTCTTGTAAAATGTCTCTCAACGTTTGACTTTTTACGAGGTTGAAGTCGCTTCTCATTCACCAGCTTCCTGTTTGAATTTTCCTGTTCCATCTTATTCATCTCCAAAATTCATCTCCTGTTCATCTCCAAATTATCAAGGTTCGTCTTAAATGTTTCTCTTTGCCATTTTGTCAGCTGACTGCGTTGCTATGGTGACCAGCTATGATCTTCAGGGTCAAAAGTTGGTGAATTAGCAGTTCTACATTAGCTCCAACATTTAAGACCATTCACTGTTTAAACTGTGTTTGGATGATCAGCAGAGCTTTATTTTGCTGCAAAGGAGGATTATTTTATTTTTACCTAAACATCTAATTAACAGGGCAGTAAAAGAGCTGCATTTTGCCGACCCCTGGACTAGATCTTCTGGAAGTTCTAGATATGTCACAGACTGTAAATACGAGTCGTAGTCTTCTGTGTTAACTAATCAGTGTTCCGGTTAGTTGTTAGGAGTGGAAAACAGTGACGGCAGCTCTGTGCCAGGACTCTCAGATATATGGTACTGTCTGTTACAAGCTTCAAATAGCTGTGTTTAATCTAAAATGGCCAAAAGAAATGTTCAGGTGAATTGCTGTTAGCTCAGTGCTAGAATACTGCTAGAATCCCATGGAGGTGCTAGCAGAAATTTGAGAGGTCTTGGCGTGACTGGGCTTTGACATTTATGGGCCGAACTGAAGGCCCAGCACTAATCACAGTTCACCACTGCATTAACTGTTGCTCTTTGGTCGTGCTCCTCAGTCCTACCATGGTGATCCATGTGTGTGACGAAGCGAAGAACCTGAAGCAGGATTTCTCATGTCCACGCGACCTGCTGGTGAGGGAGATGCGCTATTTTGCAGAGTATCTGTCAGTGGATGCTCAGCGCTGGGAGGAGGTGGACATCTCGGTCCACTGTGACGTCCAGATATTTGACTGGCTCATGAACTATGTCAAGAGAAACTCTGCTGACCACGAACTGGGAAAACATGTGGAAAAACCCAAACTAGGTCAGTTATGCTGGACTCATTATGGCGAATGTTTGCTGAGTCATTTGCCTTGTGTGTTTGCTGAGTAGGGCTGCAACTAACGGTTATTATGATTAATTAATTGATTATTAATCTATAATAATCTACAGTCTGTCAGAATGACTGTGTGGATCATATGAACATTACAGAGCACTTTTAAATGAAACAATAGAAGCCATATCGCCCCCTACACATCCTGTAGTGTATTACCGTCTGTCAGAATGACTTTGTGGATCATATGGACATTATAGAGCGCTTTTTAAATGAAACAACAGTAGAAGCCATATCGCCCCCTACACTTTCTGTAGTGTATTACAGTCTGTCAGAATGACTGTGTGGATCATGTGAACATTATAGAGCGCTTTTTAAATGAAACAACAGTAGAAGCCATATCGCCCCCTACACTTTCTGTAGTGTATTAGAGTCTGTCAGAATGACTGTGTGGATCATATGAACATTATAGAGCGCTTTTTAAATGAAACAATAGAAGTCATATCGCCCCCTACACTTCCTAAAGTGTATTACAGTCTGTCAGAATGACTGTGTGGATCATAAACATTATTCGTTTACTGTATGTATTCCAATCATTTGAACGCTATAAAGCTCTTTTGTTTTGAATTATACAATGTATCAATGTTTTTCCATAATCTGGAAAATTTTCCTTTCTTGGAAACTACTTGTTGCTGCCCTACTGCTGAAATGTTTGATGTTGTGGGTGCCTGATGATGGACATGTCTGAATGATGAGCTTTTTCTTTATGTGTGGTGGTGAATGTTGGCGTGTGGTTGTTTTGGCTGTTTGTGATGTGGTTTGGTCATGCCGTGTCGTGTTTGGTGTTTGGTTTCAGAGCCCAGCAATGTCATCTCTATCCTGATCTCATCCGAGTTCTTGAAGATGGATACTTTAGTAAGTGTGCATACTTTAGTAAGCATGTGTTAGTGTGAATACTTAAAGCTTCAACCACGAATTGTGCCTCTGTCAACACAGTTCATTCTTACAGAGAGCAAGGCAAACGTACATACAGTGGGTTTTAATGGGGGCATTATTGCTGTTCTCACTGTAGCCTGAAAAAAGTAGGCTGCTGGTTGTTCCTGGTTGGGGCTTTAAGTGAGGATTTGAAGACTTAAGTGTGGATACTTTAGTACACTATAGATACTACTGGGTATGTCAGTGCAGGCATGTCAGACTGGTGACCTTCCGGGCCAAAGTGCTGTGGATGTTAGCGTTTACCCTCATATAACACTCTGAATTCAGTTCACGAAGGCCTTGCCAATTAGCTGATGAGCTGAATCAGGTGTGTTTAATGAGGCAGGGTGCTGAAGCCTGCAGAGTTTTGGCCCATGAAGACTGGAGCCTGACCTGTGTGCTGTAGTGAGTGTGAATATGTAGGTACATATAGTGCTGGGTATCTGTGTGGTGTGGTCAGAGCATGCTGCATGGCCAGTGTTATGCTTATAGTTGCACCTGGAGTTGCAGAGTTATATGCAAAAGTTTGAACACCCTGGTCAAGTTCCATGATTTGTTGATTTTCTAAGTAAAAAGAAGTCATCACATTCTCTACAGAGAACACAGTGAAATATGACATTTTCTGCAAATTTTAATTGCGGAGTTTAACATTTTGGAAAAAAAAACATAAAATATAAAAGTTTTTTTTTCCCAATAAGTTAAATTAAGCAAATAAACTGTAATTGTGCATTAAAATGTGCAGAAGTGTGTTCTCTGTAGAGGACATGTTCAACTATTTTTGCTTACAAAATCAACAAAACATCATCCAAAACATTCGTCCAGGGGCGCAAAACATTTTTCCATGGGCGCAAATGTAGCTAACACTGAATCAGAGATAGTAGCGAGTAGACAGTAGTGCTAACTGGTCCCTATTGATTTTGCTTACCCTTAGCAACATTAGCATGTTTTAGCCCTCAAATGGTGCAGCCATTAAGCATTGGCCTCATTGTCGGGGTATCAGTTGCAATCATGAATTTCAGGGTGGGCAGCAGTGAAGCTGGATTCATAGACCAGTGACCTTGTTTTGGGTCAGATCCCACTCAGGGCAGGGCAAGCTGAGTCCATCAGCCGAAGCTCAGGGCTGTAAATGCTGTGCTGGACTCTCTGACCTTCAGGTAGAGGAGTGTGTCCAGTACTGTCACAAGCATATGAGCGCCATCGTGGCCACACCGTGCAACATGAGCTGCATCAACAGCAACCTGGCCAGCCGCATCGCTCTGCTCTTCACACACAACCAGGCCGACGACATCAAGGACAAGAAGGACAAGTTCAAAAGGTCAGTAACTGCTATTAATTATTGAGTATCTTCTATGAATTATTCAGTATCTAGTATGAATTATTCAGTGACTGCTATGAATTATTCAGTATTTTTACATATTATTCAGTAACTACTGTAAGTTATTGAGTAATTACTATTAATTATTCAGTAACTACTATGAATTATTCAGTAACTACTATGAATTATTCAATAACTACTATGAATTATTCAGTATCTACTATGAATTATTCAATAACTACTATGAATTATTCAGTATCTACTATGAATTATTCAGTATCTACCTTGAATTTTTCAGTAACTACTATAATTTATTCAGTAACCACTATGAATTATTCAGTAACTACTATGAATAATTCAGTATCTGCTATTAAATTATTCAGTATCTACTTTGAATTATTGAGTAACTACTATGAATTATTCAGTAATTACTATGAAGAATTCAGTATCTGCTATTAAATTATTCAGTAATTCATTCATTCAGGCTCCCTGCTCCCTACATAGTGCACTACGTAGGAATTTAAATACTGGATCCTGCAGCCCAACAGTGCAAAATACAGCTAAGAGATAGTCATTTGGGACTCCACACTCAATAAATGATGCACTGTTTGTCTGTAGAGGCGAGAAACTTTCAAAGCTAGCACACTATTTAGGAAGTACTGAGCCGTTTGGGATTCAGCCTGGGTTTGACGTGACTTCTGACTGAAACACAAACATTTGAAGTGTGTAAGACATTCAAGTAACATTTTTAGTCTTCTATACTGCCGTTTTACAGTTAATCATACCGTAAGTGCTTTAATTAAAGCCTGTGATATTAATGATGGAGTTGTTTAGGCTGTTGGCTCTTTTAGCCTGTTAGCTAGCTGACCAGCCTAGTTCTGGTTAAGGACATAAGTCTCTAGTTCCTTCAGTTTAAACAAAAACAGGTTCTTTCTTCATCAGTCCACTTGGTGGTCCATGCGAGCAGCATTACAGTCAGAGATTATTCCATTAACAGCACAAGGTGTTTTCGTGCTGTTGCGCAGTAATACAGAGTTCAGTTGTTGTGAGGCGGTCATAGGCGGTGTATCATGGATTTTACGACAGCTTTGAATGCAGATTTTAGGAGCGGAACTATCCGTTTAATAATATGAATTATTCAGTTTCTACTATTAAATTATGCAGTAACTACTATGAATTATTCAGTAAGTGATTCTCTGTTGTAAAGGGACTAAGGAACCACATCCAGACCCTGTAAAGGGTTAAAATGTGATTTCTTTTGTTTTTTTTTGCGTCTTTTGTTTCCAGTAAGTTGTTCCAGAAGAAGATTGAGAAGCTTTTTGATCCTGACTATGAAAATCCTGACTCTCCAGGAAACGCTGCTACGCTCTACAGGTCAGACACTTTTTATATAACATAACATCTGAGTTCACTCTGCTCTCATGAGAAAACCTTCTCCAATTATGCAGTGTAGTTTTGATGCTACATATAAATTAATACACGTCTACAAATAGACAGCAGGCAGTAAGTGTAAAAGATAAAGGCTGATAAAAGCAAAACTCTGTCTCTGTCTCTCTCTCTCTCTCTCTCTTCTTGCTCTCTCTCTCTGTCTTTCTCTCTCTCCTCATTCTCTCTCTCTCACTCCCTCTCTCTCGTTCTCTCCCTCTGTCTTTCTGTCTCTCTCTCTCTCTCTCTCTCTCTCTCTCTCTCTCTCTCACTCTCTCTCTCTCTTTCTCTCTCTATCTGTCTTTCTCTCTCTCTCCTCACTCTCTCTCCTCACTCCCTCTCTCCTCATTCTCTCTCTCTCTCCAGGTGTGGTCTTTGCCTTAAGCTTCTGACCAAAGACACTGAAAGGAAGATCTCTTGTGTTCCGGGCAAAATTAACATTGACTCTCAAGGCAACATCGTCTACACACACAGCCGGTACTCACACAGCACATCACAGTGCGGTGAAAGCCATTCGATCTCACCTGGGCTCATCGCAGAACACAGCCTGACTCTCATTCTACTCTGTTTAGAACCATGTCATGCTTAAATGGATCTATGCATGGTGAAAGGGTTTTCAGATTGATGGAGAATGTGCTATATATGGTTCTATATAGAACCTATGGTTCCCTTTTTGGTGCTATATTGAACCATTTTCAAAAAGCTTCTACATAGAACCATCTACAGTACATTCTCCATCAGTCTGTAGAACCCTTTTATGAGGCAAAGAACGCTTTAATCATGCAAAGGGTTCTGTAAGTGTTCATGGTTCTATATAGAACCATTTTTCTTTATTAAAGAACCCATTTTTAAGTGTGTATTGACAGCTGTGGACTTCTCCTCTCAGACATAAAGGCTGGGACGTCCATGACTTTCTGAACGGCCTGTATGAGGAGCTGAAGTCCTGGGTGCTGGTTTACTGGAGGATCTGGGGCACCATTAACTTCCTCACCTGCTCTCGCTGTAAACAGGTGAACACTCCTTCACCCTCGGCTGTCAGTGTGGCACCTGCTGCAGGGGTTCCGTGGTAGAACTCTTTGTGTGTGTTATCTGCAGGTGTTCCTGTGCAGCGAGTTGTCTCAGTGCAGGTATCACCCGGAGGCCGTGGTGTACCCGGGTGTGGGTGCTGATCGCAGCTGGCACGGTGCTGGGCTTTATCCCTGCTGCAAACAGAGGGCTCTTCGCTTCGACCCTGCCGCCATACCCAGGGTGAGCTAGAACCGCACAGAACTGTAGAACCATACTGAGGGCAAGCTAGAACCATATAGATCTGTATATCATGATTCTCAGAGTTAGCTAGAACCATTTAGACCTGTAGAACCATGTTGTGGGTAAGCTAGGACCTACTGAATTGCATTACCATTCCCAGAGAGACCTAGAACTGTATAGAACTGTATAACTGTGCACAGAGTAAGCTAGAAACTTATAAAACTGTATAACTGTGCCCAGGTTGAGCTAGAACTGTGTAGAACTGTATAACCATACCCAGGGTGAGCTAGAACCACACAGAACAGAACCATACTGAGGGCAAACTAGAACCATATAGATCTGTATATCATGATTTCCAGGGCTAGCTAGAACCATTTAGACCTGTAGAACCATGTTGTGGGTAAGCTAGGACCTACTAAATTGCATTACCATTCCCAGAGAGACCTAGAACTGTATAGGACTGTATAACCATGCCCAGGGTAAGCTAGAACCTTACAGAGCTGTATAACCATGTTCAGTGTAAGCAAGAACTTTATAAAACTGTATAATAATGCCCTGGGTGAACTAGAACCATATAGGACTATACAACAATGAACTAGATAAGCTGGGTAACCATGCCCAGGGGGAGCTAGAACATTACAGAGCTAGAATCATGCCCATGTTTTGCTAGAATAAACTACACCTAGGCTGAGATAGAACTGTATAACAGTGTTAAGGGTTAGAGCTAGAACGACATGGAACTCTGTAACCTTGCCCAGGCTTAGCTAGAACATGCCATGCCCTGGATTGGGTGGAACAGCTATGCCCAAGATTAGTTAGGTTCATACAACTACACTCTTAAAAAAGATGGTTCTTCAAGGGTTCTTGAGTAAAGACAGTGGTTCTATATGGAACCATGAACACTTAAATGGTTCTTTGCATGGTGAAAGGGTTCTTCGGACTGATGGTATGTGTGGTACCAAACAAAAAAGGTTCTGAAGTTGTTATGATGTCAAGCTTGTTACAGTAGAAGCATGTAAATGATTCTTTGAGTGTTCATGGTTCCATATAGAATCCTTGTCTTTACTAAAGAACCCTTGAAGAACCATCTTTTTAAGAGTGTATGATAAAAGTGTCTGGTAGAGTACTGAGTAGAGTTAGCTAGAACAGCATAGACTTGTGTAGGAATAGAAAGGATTCAGTAGTCAAACAGAGTTGGACAGGAATTCTACTCAATCTTTTAAAGGCATGTATTATGTTCTGTCCCCGCAGGGCTGTAAGGTCAGGGATCATGTGGTCAGCATGCTGGACGGTGGGGACTGTGGAGATAACGTGAACTCTGTGCAGACCAGAATACTGAACGACCTGCTGCTTCACAGAGACGCTGTGTGTGTTATAAGCACACAGACTGCAGACAGGTCAGCATCATCCTCTAAAAACACTGCGTTCTTTAGAGCAGGTTCTCTTTCAGTTACTGCTGTAGCATCTAATAAAAATAGCAATATTTATGAGGTCAAAAGCATTTTTAGCCTTCTCCTGCAGTATGACTCACTGAGCTTGGCATTAACTTTGAATGCACATTGTGTTTTGACACTTGTGGTGTGTGTTTTGGCACAGTTCTGCGGAGTCACCTGCAGGGGGCGAGCAAACACAGGACTGCGACGTAGAGCCGGGAGTCCTGAACATTCAGAGAAGCGGAGAAGTCACAGCAGTCAGTCTCCTGCATTATTTCATTTCATTTATTTTCCTTATTTTCACATATTATTTGTTATTTCTAAAGGTTATTTGCATATAACATTGAGTGCAATAATCCGATCATAATCAGATTTCTGCAGTTATCTGATTGTTGGTCTTATAAAGAGCACACTCCGATCAGAGTAAGGTGTTGAAATCTTATTAAGAAATCTGATAAATAGGCTGGATTTTAGCTCAGTAATTAGATTTCTCAAGGCATCGGAACTCTTACTCTGATTTCTTTCGGATTTCTCAGTCTGCGCCTGTGTGAAACTGACCGTGGTACCAGAAATAAGTGAGCAGTGTTGCAGTGAGACGCAGCAAAACACTTTTGCAGTGAGGCTGAAACCAAATACATACTTGACAAAATGAAGGATTTAAATATTCCTTATTTTCTTGATGATGTTTGTTCTTATTTTCCGGTAAAATGGCACAATGTTTACAGCATGAAGTTTGAGTTTTATGTTACGTTTACATCATATCTTCTTCTGTGAGTTTATTGGCTGGTTGTAAAGCAGAAATCCAATTACTGCCTCACTCATGTAAACCTGGAGACCCCATTATCTGATTGCTCAAGAGCATGTTAATGCGTAGATCAGATTACTGACAAAATGTGATTTTCAGCAGTTATCAGATTATTAAGTGCATGTAAACACACCCATTATGCAGATCCTGAATTTCATCACATGCTGATGATAACAAGCATGCTATGTAGCTGATCTAGTCGCTTAGGAGTTAATTTACTCACCTGCAGCACCCATATGGACAAACATACTAACATACATACATACATCATCTAAACCGCTTATCCTTCTGGGTCTCAGGGGGTGCTGGAGCCTATCCCAGCTGTCATTGGGCGGAAGGCAGGATACACCCTGGACAGGTCGCCAGTCCCATATGGACAAACAATGGTTTGGTATTTTAAATTGAGGAGGGACAGTATACGATTCTGGAGAATGATTGTTGATATTTAAACTCAACAGCAAAACAAACACACCCCTCCCTTCTGTGGTCCTTCAGAAGCTCCGCCCCTCCAAATTTATGGACGTGCATAGCCAAGGCGAACGACGCTGGGCTGGCAAAATTGTTTTTTTTTTATCTTTGTGGCTATAAATCAATTCGCAAACATTGTACGGACAAATATCTCCATAGAACGTTAGAGTGAACAACGACACAGCAAGTAATGCAGCTAACATTAGCTAGGTTGTGGGTTAGCAAACTGTCACTACAATTGCCGCTGCAAAGCTAACCAGCTGGGATTAGCTATAACAAACATTAGCAAAAGAGACAAAACAATACTGACCTGTTGGTTCTGTGATACAGCGAAAATAAGTTAATATCGCCCACCTGTCTAGCAGAAAAGAGCAGCCTCCACATCCCTTTTCATGCCTTTCAACTCTTGAAGCTGAAATTAGCTTCTTATTCACCAGCTTCTTGCTCCAATTTTCCCGTTCCACCTTAAATGGTAGAGCAGTTACATTCTGATGCCTCAGGCACCAGAATAGAACTGCTGTGCCATTTAAGGTGGAATGGGAAAATGCAAATAAGAAGCCAAATTCAGCCCCAGCTCTCGCCTCACCGTTATCTCTTCACTGCTGAAACGCCCTCAGCTGTTCTAAGCACTTCTTTCTGAATCTTAGTTCTTCAGATCTTCTCGTCTTTGTCTGTTTCTCAGCAACCTCTCGTTCTTAATGAACCGCTCGTTCTTAACTGAGTGGAATTCAGCACGTAGCCCCTCTCCTTCCCCCTGCATGAGCACAGGCAGCCCCTGTCGCTGATTGGTTGGAATGATGTTGTGTTGTCGGTCTGTGGCACTTTGTTTGTTTCCCATTTACAGATCCAGGGCTGTGTACAAATGTCAGATTTTTTTTCCAGTGTGCCCACAGAACGGAGAGCTAGAGGAGAAATTTGCTGAATTTAACAGTGTATTGAATTGAGATTGTATACTGCACCTTTAATTGTTTCCATTGAAAAATCCAAAACAAATCAAAAAACTTCTTAAGTGTCAGGATTGTCGTCAGAGGCTAATCTTTGCCTCTTAGGTGTTTTTTTGTTTGTTTATGAGCTTCAGATGCACAAAATATCAGATTCTCTTGAATGCCTCATTTAGAAAAGCTCTTAACATGTGTCTCTCACCATCCAATCTGTTTCAGTTTTCACTGCTGAAGAACTGGAGTCTCCAACTGGTGAGAACACACACACACACACACACACACACTCTCAATACACCCCACAAAACAGAGGTGTCCGAAATAACAGAAACACCACCTGAATTACTCAGAATCACTGGCCATTTTATCAGAAACACCTACCCTATTGGTGCATTTTGCGCTTATGGTTACTGACTGTAGCTCTATTGACGCACAAATGATCAGCCTCCGTTTAACTCGTCCAACAATGGAAAGGACCACCATGGGACCATCACTGACCATATCTAACTGTAATTAAGTAGTGAACCGCTTTCAGCACAGAAGTGACACTGATGTGGTGGTGTGGGTGGTGCTGGTTTGAGTGTACAGTCATATGTAAAAGTTTGAACATCCAATGAATTTACATTTTGTTCGTTTTCTAAGTGAGAATAAGTCTGTATAAAGGAAATTCAGAGATTTGTTTCTAAACACATACTTGTTGGAAAAGGTCGTAGTGGTATTTGACACTTAAGAGAGGCTGCACTGAAATGAAAGTGAATTCTGTGTGTTTGTTAGCTGAAGCGCTGCTAGCGGCTTCATTTTAATCTAAGAGAGGCTTTGCTGCCCAACCTAAAGAGCTATTGGATATGCTAATGTTAGTATGAAGCCGAAGTCGAAATCCTGTTCGCCAGCTTATTTAAATTTTCCCGTTCCACCTTAAATGGTGCAGCAGTAACATTCTGGCGAATGCAAAGCTGAAGAGGGGCTGCACCTTGAAACTTAATTTTATATACTTGCTGATTTTTAAATAATTTAATTTTGGCTGGGTGGTTAATAACACATTTTTCTGTGGTGTGACAAACTCGGACCACGTATTTATTTCTGCTTTACACAGACTTTAAATGTGGCAATTTTCTGTACATTTTAGTGGACAATTTCTATCTATTTGCTGAGCTTAACATGCTGGAAAAAATAAAATATAAAAATGCCATAACCTTTGCACAAGTCAAATTTCATTTTTTATTTATGTTAAATTCAGCAAATAAAAAATAATTGAGTGTTAAATGTGCAAAAGTGTGTTCTCTGTAGAGGATGTGTTCACTGAGAAAATCAACAAAACATGGAATTTGAGGGCTTCCAAATGGTGCAGCTGTCTCAGAGAACACAAGTGTCCTCCCTCTCTCTCTCTGGGTGGGTAGAGTGGTCTTCACCGCACCCCTTCACTCAGTGCAATGCAATGTGGGCATCTGTTAGCTGAGATAATAGAACAGTTAGTGTTCTCCTCCAAGCGTGTTGAACTGCTCAGTGTTGTTGTGTTAGTGGCAGATCCGAAAAAGTTGTGGTGGCGCTTCACGTGACTCGGAGGAAGCATGTGCTAGCCTTCGTCCTCTCAGCACTGGAAGTATTGTGTGATTGGAGGAGGCCTAGCTAGTGGGTGGAAATGGACATGCCTAAATTTGGGAGAAAATTCTGAAAAAATACCAAAAAAAAAGGAGTGCCCAAACATTTGCATGCGACTATATCAGACACAGCAGTGGCTCAGTGGTCAGAAACTGACCACTGATGAAGGGCTAGAGAATGACTAACATAAATTGTACATGGAAAAATTCCAGTCTCTAGTTTTACATCAAAGTAGGACTGTCTAATAGAGTGGACAGAGAGTGGACACAGTGTTTAAACTCCAGCTGCACTGCTGTACCTGATACAGTCATACCAGCGCAACACACATGAACATACCACTGCCATGTTGGTATCACTGCTGTGCTGATAATGGTCCAGCACCCAGATAATATCTGGTCTGTGGTGGTCTAATGGTGGTCCCTTTCCATTGAAGAACAGGGTAAAAGGGGGCTGATTAAATGGGCTGCAGTAGATGGTCAGTAGTCTGTTACTGTAATCCTACAAAGGGCATCTGTAGGTGTATCTGATAAAGTGACTGGTGAGTATGAGCATTTAATGCTATATTTTAAATTAACTGATGTTTTCATTGTATGCATCAGAGTTCTCAATGCGCTTTGACCTTTCCCAGCGGCAACAGTCTCTGCTGTCTGAGGACGAGGAGTACACCACGGGGTCAGAGGTCACAGAAGATGAAGTTGGGGATGAAGAAGACGCTTCAAAGAAACAAGGTAAAGCAGAGGATTTCTATTATAGAATTAATCTTTCAGACGCAGTGACTCTTTTTGGCCAGATGGTGGCAGGTGTTTATCATTAATGGATGTGCACTTGTTAAAGGGCCTTGATCAGAGGGAAAAAATGAAAATGAAAATGAAAGAGATTAAAGTAGAATGTCAACATTGTTAAAGTTTCAAAACTTGCTGCTCACTCACCGCTCAGCACATAGGTTTAGCCCCGCCCATTGTCGCTGAAGTGATGTGGAGTGTTGTTCCTGCAGACAGTCCATAGAGTGTGTAGAGTTATTCAACTGAAGGATTTTGGAAAATGATTAAATGTTGTGCTGTTCCAAATGGATCACTGCAGTCTTCCACAGGATCCACACATCCAAAAATGTTTATTTCTTCCCAACTCCATGAGAATTTCAGTTCAAAAAGTTGGTTCCCCTTTTCCAGTTTTTCGAATGAGGTACAAAATGTAGGGCAGCCAATTAGACCAGAGGTCATTTAGTCAAATCAAGCCCAAGTTTATTCATGTAGCACTTTTACAACAGAATAATCTGGGTCCGAGGCCCCAGGAGCATCGCCAATGGAGAGGACGAAACACTGAGAGAAACCAAGACCCATTCTAAGGGATAAACTAACCCTCTGGAAAAAAAAAAAGTAAAATGTACCTTTTACAGGGCCCATATTATGGAAAACCAAATCTTTTTTTAATTAAAATACTGTTTGTTATTTTGTTATTGTTATTGTAAGTTATTTTCAAAACACACCATTCACCAACCAGTCTATTCAGTCTATGTATGGAAACTAGGCTGCAAAAAAGGGCCCATTTTGAATGAATTCAGCACTTTAGCCCCACCCACTCACACTGAAGTTAGTGCTTCAGCTCTGAGTTAATCTATATATCTCAGTCTGAATAGCGCTGTAACAAAAACAGCCTGTTTAAGTCTAAGTGATAGAGATTAGGAAAACGGTGATTCAAGAATTATGACTATTTTTGGTACATAAAATCACACAAACTGTATATCTATCCTTCAGGGAAAAAATAAAAGGCAAGAAAAACGTAGCACATGGCCCTTTACGGTCGACCTTTGGGTTTTTTTCCGCAGCTCCAAAGAAGGCAAGAAAATCAGGGAAGCCTTTGAAAAGACAAGTGTCCTCCCCCAGCATACAGCGCAAGGAGAGATCTGCAGACAAGGTGTGTCAGCTTACTGCTTCGTTTTCTTCACATGCTGGACTGTGATGTTCTCCTCACTCACTGTATTCATCCTCTTTTTAAAGGCTACTTCGAGGGACTCCACCCCTTTCACGTACGTCCTTCTGCTGTCTGCTCTTTAAGTGCACACAGCTACTTTTTCTTACTTTCAAATGACTATTTTTTGTAGCTTTTTACTGATTATATGTAACGTTTTGCCTTTGCATCCATCCATATTATTAAGATTATACACTATCTGTCCAAAAGATCCAGACAGGCCTTTTACTAAGTGAATTCAGCTGCTTTAAGGTGCACCTACTGCGGATACAGGCTTGTACAATGTCCATAGAAAACCATTGATCTGCTTAAGTCTGAGCTTAGGATCACCATGGCTAACGCTGACCATGGTCTAGAGGGGTGTAAAGCCCCCCAGCATTAGGCTGAGGAGTGGTGGAACTGTGTTCTCTGGAGTGATGGAGCTCCATCCAGTGCCTTTGGGATGAGTTGTAGTGATCCAAAACTGACCATCAAACATCAGTACCTGACCTCACTAATGCTCAATCAAATCTTCACAGCAATGTTCCACATCTAGTGTAAAGCCTTCCCAGAAGAGTAGAGGCTATCACTGCAGCACAAACTCACTATTACCACCCTTCATTTCAGAAGAAACACTGCTGTCTACAAACTTTTGGACATATAATGTATATTAGCAGTGATGCTATACAGTATATATTATGAACAGCTTGCTATTAAGCACTGAGGGAAGGTGTAACTAAGTAAACAGTGGATATATATGCACTCTCTCTGTCTCTCTCTCTCTCTCTCTCTCTTATCCAGAGTGAGCGTGCAGAAGAGTAAATGGGACAGCAGTCGCTCTTTGAGGTTTAATCAGGACGCTCAGAGGGAGGAAGGTTTGCACTCACAGCCCTGCTTTCCATCATTATCTGTGTATTTCATTCAGTGGAATGTACAGTTAACTGTCTCCCCTACTTTACTTGCTGTGATTCAGCTCATTAGCTAATTACCAAACTCAGCCAGGTGTGGTAGAGCAGCAAAACGTATCTGTGCCATCACACCATCTGCTGTGTTTACCAAGACTCTGTATATTCATATACATGTTGTATATGCAGGTGTGGTGTATCTTCTGCTCTCTCTCTCACTCTTTTTCCCTCACACACACTCTCTGTCCAGACCAGAGGAGAATGGTGGAGATCATGGGTCATCTTACCAGAATGCGCTTTGGTGATTTGGAACAGAACAAGTCAAAGGACACTAAAGAGGTAGAGAACTGCTTTCAATGTGTGAATGAGTGGAGGAGAGAAACAGTTGGCCAGTGTGGCGTATAGTATATAGTACAACAATATACTGTATAAAGCATACACTGTGTAGTTTAACACACTGAGATGAAATGAAACAGAAAATATAAAATGACTTTTGCACAGGCCATGTTTTATGTTTTATTTTATTCGCCAATATGTGAAATTCAACAAATAAACAGTAATCATGTATTAAGATGTGCAGAAATTTGACCAGGTCGCCCAAACTTTTACATACAACCGTATTTATTATAGTAATGTGGATAGCATAACAGTATACTGTATATAGTGCATACAGTACATATGCGTACGTATATTACCACAGCATTATATGTAGTATATACACAGATCAGGCATAATATTATGACCACCTCCTTGTTTCTACGCTCATTGTCCATTTTATCAGCTCCACTTACTATATAGGTGCACTTTGTAGTTCTACAGTTACAGACTGTAGTCCATCTGTTTCTCTGCATACTTTGTTAGCCCCCTTTTACCCTGTTCTTCAGTGGTCAGGACCTGTATGGACCCTTAGGTACTATTAGGTGGTGGATCATTCTCAGCACTGCAGTAACACTGATGTGGTGGTGGTGTGTTAGTGTGTGTATATATATATATATATATACACTGTATATATTGTAGTATAGTTTACAGAGTGACCATATATAATGCACATAATATATACACCATATATGCTACAGAATAGTGTAACTCTATAACAGTTTTTCCTAATCCTGCTCCTGGTGACCCATAGTATATATAATCCAATGATAAGGTGAATCAGGCATGTTAAATTAAAGACTACTGACAGTGCAGCGCTGGGGGTCAGCAGGAGCAGGATTTAAAAACACTCCTCTACAGTGTATACACTGTACACGCTGTAGCATAATCTCATACATTTACAGTATAAAAGGCATTTTGACATGTAAATACTTATGTGTGTCTGTGTGTGTCCAGCTTGCAGGAGGCATTTACTCCAGACTGGAGGCCCAGTTTAAAAGCTCCACTCAGCCCAGTGCCCGACAAAGCAGCTCGGACAAAACGCTCCGGTACATCATGCAAGCGTACATACACTACGGCATCCACACAAGGTCACAATGTAAAATTCACACAGTGTACAAACTCAGAACTGTAGGAACCTAAAACACCACAGCATCTAAAAAAAAACACACAACACACAGTGTTCAGTGATGACTGTACGCTGTACAGCAGTCACACACACACACTGTGATCACTTCAGCACCGACCACACACTCACCCAGCTAATTGTTGTTGTTACTATTTCATCCAGAACGTCTGTTTTGTTAGTTACGTTCGTTTGGCTTTCGAGTTGTTTTCTTCTGTGGAGAGATGGACCAAAATCATATGCTAATCTCTCTTTATTCTGATGGCTGGTTGGAATTTCTTTCTGGTTTTACTCTCTCTCTCTGTTTCAGTTCTATTTTTAACCTGCTGCTTTGTTCTTTTTTTAGGCCAAAGACGCGCTCTGGGCAGTCTAGACCAGCGTAAAGAAGGGAAGCGACAGATGAGATGAGCTGATGAGTACATAAAAGGAGGAATAACCCCTCCTCCTCCGTCCTGCATCCCTCTATCTGAACCTTGGGCTGACTCGGACAGAGGGATGGGCAGAAGCAGACGTTTGCGATGCCGTAAAGGAACCTGTGGGGTTTTAACATGCAAATTGGATTAAATAGTAGAGCTGCACTGGAATGTAGTGTGTCACTTTGTCTCCTCACTAATCGTGCTGCTAGCTTCATAAATGTTAAAGCGATAGTTTGGTGAGAGTCAAATTTACTCTATTTTACCTCTTCTCCCAAATGTATGTCAGTCAGCCAAGGTATATTTGGTGTCTTTAATTTTGGACTGAAGCTACGAGGCTAATGTAGCTAATAAGCAATGGAAGCGTATGTACACCGATTAGCGTGGTGCAAACTGCGTTCCTTAAATCATGTTGTTAAAAGGAATTCCACTGATTTTTCAGAATTTCTGCAAAATTCAATCATTGAGATGTATTGATTCAGAGTGGTTTGGTGTGAAATGGTTCAGAGGTCTTTACAGTGGTGGTGATAGGAACCAGGGGTCGCCATGACTACAACACAAATATAAACATTTTATTTACTATCCAAAACCACCAGCGAACCTACACGTGTCTTCTGAGTTTATATGGAATGTTGATGATGATAAACTATAATAGATCTGAAATAAAAAATCTTGCATGTGCCCCAACATCATGAACATGATAATTTAGGCCAAAATATTCTACACTGTAAAACAATGTTGCAGATATCAGGCAGTGTATTCATAACCATTTGATGTACCAACTTTCTGCGAGGGAGCTTTTAGAGGTGGACGTCTGGTTCCTATCACCACCACTGTGAACAATTCTGACTCTGTTTCTTTAGAACAGAGCATTTCACACCAAACCACTCTGAATGACTTCATATCTTAACCATTGAATTATCTAGAATTTTTTCAAAAATCAGTGGAGTTCCCCTTAAAGTAGTCTTGCTTAAGTGGTTTCTGACACTGGGACACACACTGATATCTATAAATGTGGACAATACAAAATCACACTGCTAAAAACAGCAGCAGCATCTCGAAGACTCTGTTTTGTTCTCACTGGTATATATTAGCTCTGTAGCTCCAGTGCAAAACTAAACTAAACTTCATGTATTATGGATTCAGAAACACTGATTACAGATAGAGCAGATAGTAGAAGCAAATAAAAGTATGTTTGAGTTTTTACCCAACACTTCAAAGTCTGTCACTCCTCTTTACCTTCATGTCCTGCTTCTACAGCCTGTAAGATATGCACCCACTCGTATTCCTCTAGTCTTAATCTCAGGTGACCCCTCCCCACTCATCCTCTGTACTATCCAGCACTGTAACACTGTAGAGTCCTGCAGCTGGAGCCAGTGTCCAAAGCCATGGTGGACTGTGGATACAACTAGAATAAAGAATGGAGCAAAGCTTGCTGAACTAAAATTGTAGCTGTGTGCTTTATTTTGGTTCCCATCGCTGGTCCTGGAGAACGCCTGATCCTGCAGCTTTTACAGTTTTCCTGCTCTAACACACCCACTTTAACTCAGACAGGGCTTGTTATCTAACTAATTCACTGGATCAGGTGGATTAGAGCAGGAAAAACACCAAAATATGCCACAGTTGATAAACTCTGCTTAACCAATAATGAATATAGTGATGGCTTGCTTGTCTGTTACACATCAGCAACTGAATTCATAATTATAAGTGTGAATATTTGTGGTGGTGGATGGAGATGGCAGGGTTTGTTGGGAGCAATCAGATAGCTGGAGTTGCTGTTACTGTTGGAGTGATGGCTGTGATTGACCTCTCCATGCTCTGCCCACAAATTCTTGTTCTTTCATAGCTTCTGTTGCTAGGTTGGTCAAGCTTTACAGAATGAGTAAATGAGTGCACAACTCTAACTCTATAGAGCCTTTATGTGGCCTATTATGTTTCATTGGAATTTAAAGACTTAAAGACTATTTTTTTCCGCAAAAGCTGTCACAGAGTAGCTTGACTTTATTGGTGTAGATGGAGGCAACATACAGTTGCACTTTATTTTTGCTGTAATCTCAATTGTGTTTTACGGTAACTTTAGCCATGCTACAGTAGCTAGTGGTGTAGACTATGTGGTGATTGGCTGTCATTGTTGGTTATGATGGTGATTGGCTGTCATTGTTGAGTTGACTGTGATTGGCTGTTAGGGTGATGGGGCTAATGATGATTGCTTGTCGTTGTTAGAGTCATGGTGATTGTGGTAATGGTGAATGGTTGTCATTGGTAATGATGTAATTGGCTGTAGTTGTTAAGGGTGACGGAAATTGGCTGTAGTTGTTGGGGTGATGGTTTTCTGGCAACATTGGTAATTGTGTTGACTGGCAGTGTTGGTGATGACAGTGATTGTTGTTGCAGAGGGTAATGGAAATTGTTATTGTTGGTGGTGATGGTGATTGGACATCAGTGCTGGTTGTATTGGTGTATAGGGCTGATTGTTATTAGCTGTTTATTATTGGGGTGATGGTGATTGTGGTGATGGTCAATGTCGCAATGCAGGTAATGATGTATTGGCTGTCATTGTTGAGGGTGATGATGGGCTGTAGCTGTTGGGGTGAAGGTGATTGGCTGTTATTGTTGGTGATTATCCTGACTGTCTGGCAATGTTGGTGGTTGGCTGGCATTGTTGGGTTATTGGCTGTCATTATTTGAGTGATGATTGGTTGTCATTATTGGGGTGATGGTGATTGGCTAGTCCTGTGCTTATATCCTGGACAGTCAGCCAAAGTCTGGCTGGCTCAGACTGGTTAGGTTACAGCACTGGTGCTCAGTACAAATGATCATGTGTTAATATCCACTGTGACGACAGGAACCAGATACAACAGTCTCCCACAAGCATGCAGTGTCTTTCACTGTCCTACTCTGTCTTTCGCTATATTTCTATCGTACGCTCTCTGTCTTCTCACGTTCTCCCTCTCCCAGAGAGGCTGTGGCTCAGAGGAAGCGGACTGCAGCATTTCTAAAGGCTTAGGCCCAGAGACAGCGCCAAAACAAACCACAGACGAAGCGAGAGTTAGTGCTGCTCGTGGTCTGTGGATTTTGTTCTTTGGAATACAATGGACTATTTGAACAGTGACACTTTCTGTTGTTTTGGCTTCATTTTCCAGAACCTTGGATTTCAAATGACATGTTGACTGTGTGAGCCAAAGCGTGCACCGACAGATTTCATTCAGAAATATTTCAACGAGCCATTGTAAAATTATAGCATTGAGTACATATTCACCCCATGTGGCACCAAAAGTGTTTGGACGGTTGACTCAAATCTAAGCAGATGTGTAACACCTGAAATTTGCATGACAAACAGTTCGGTACATTGGCCTGTATAATTATGGTAAAGTTATTTGTGTCTTTTATTGTACAGTCTGAGTTGGCCTGCAGTCCGCAGCGGCAGCTGGACTTGTTTGGAGCTGACGGGACTGCGGGAGGGAAAATAGCGACTGTGTTTTGTGTGCTGGAACAAAGAGAGCAGCGCACACGCGCGCACAAGCAAAAGGTGGACAGTGGCCGCATTCTCCGCGTGCGGGGTCAAAGGTTATATCCGGATCATTCGCTGATCCTTTGTTCATTGTTCGAGGGGAGGCTTCTCTCTCTCCACTGTCATTACAGATAACACAACACAGTGGCTCATGGGCGTAAATAACATGCTGCAGTAACCAAATCGGCTCTGCCTTGTCCTCTACAAGGCTACAAGAAATATAATTACTGTTTCCAGAGTGTATTAGTGTGGGCAAGTTTGGACAGTTCAACAGTCACTGTTTTCAGCAATATAAAATCATTTTGGTTGCAAATAAATGGGATCTTAAATGGTCAGGGCCATTGCCATGGTATCCCAGGTGGTTGCTAAGATGTTGCTGGGCCGTTGCCATGGTATCCAAGGTGGTTGCTAGGGTGTTGCTGGGCTGTTGCCATGGTATCAAAGGTGGTTGCTGCTGAGGTGTTGCTAAGTTATCCAAGGGGGTTGCTAAGATGTTGCTGTACCATTGCTATGGTAGGTGTTGCTGGGCTGTTCCTATGGTATCCCAGGTGGTTGCTGAGGTATTGCTAAGTTATCCATGGTGGTTGCTAAGATGTTGCTGGGCCATTGCTATCATATTCCAGGTGGTTGCTAAGGTGTTGCTGGGCCATTGCTATCACATCTTAAGTGGTTGCTAAGATGTTATTAAGCCATTGCTATGGTATCCCAGGTGGTTGCTAAGATGTTGCTGGGCCGTTGCTATGGAATCATAAGTGATTTCTAAGGTGTTGTTTCGCTGTTACTATAGTATCCCAGGGGGTTGCTAAGGTCTTGCTAAGTTATTCCATGTGGTTGCTAAGATGTTGCTTGGCCATTGCTATGGAATCCCAGGTGGTTCCTAAGGTGTTGCTGGGCTGTTGCTATGGTGTCCCAGGTGTTCGCTAAGGTGTTGCTAGGGTGTTTCTTTGGTTTTCCAAGTGGCTGTACTATCCTGCAAAGTTTCAAGGTTCTATCTCGAGTTGTCTTTGTAAGAGTATTCAATAATTAATCGCTAAGTACTTAATCAGTTACCAAGTACTTAATGAGTAGTGAACTAATATATCAATAATGGGTAATCAATGAAAAAAAATTAATTTGTAAAATTTAGCATCCAGAATGCCTCTCAGTGGTAAGATAAGAAATTTCCCAAAATCTCTATTAATAGATAATTATCATTTATCATTTAATAACTTGTTTCCATCATTCAGGAAATAAAATCTATACTGTATGAGCCCTTCTTGAATAAAACCACAGCAATTCCTATAACAACTGTTTTCAAATGTTGAACAGTAGTGCAAATATTTAAACACAAACCTGTTTACAGTCACTGACTGCAAGGAACAGATCCTGCTGTTGTCATGATGCACTTTAGCCAGTAGAGAGAGCTGTTATGTTCACAAACATAAACCCTGCGCTCCTGCAGAGAACTGACTCCTCCTCATTGTTTGTATTGTTGTTTTAAAGTTCACCTCCCTGAATAGGCCACCACTATTTATAGTAGCATAACACCACAGACTATAAACAGACTCACACGGTTTCACATTGTATTTTATACACTGCTTAACTACACTTATACAGTATTAATAACAGAGGATTCAGGCAAAGCACATGTTGCATACATACACATTATATATATATATATATATATATATATATATATATATATATATATACATATATATATATATATTTATTAGCCATTATACGCTCCTGTACTCTATACAGTAGGGCTAATAAACACTAAGACTGGCATACTAATAAAAACACTATTGATTTAATAAAACAGTTATCACACTTAAAACAATAGCAGTTTAAACAGAGCCATGTTTTTCAGTCCAGCACATGCAGGAGTGCTCATCCGAAAACAGGGTGCCAGGCCAAGGTCAGCCCACTGACCTGATGTCAT